CAGCACTACGGTGAGCAGCGTCACGACGCTGACGGATACGACAGGGTCATTCAATACCACGCTGACCGAGACGAGTTCTTCGACGGTCAGTGCGAGCGGCACCAGCAGCACGACGGCCAGCTCGAGCGTGACCAGCAGCACAACTGCATCGTCCACCACCTTGACTTCCAGTGCATCGTTGTCTAGCAGTGCGTCTCAGACGACCAGCAGTGCGACCTCGAGCAGCACGGTCACGACCAGTACGGTTTCGAGCAGTGCGACGTCCACGGCCACTTCCACGGTGAGCTCCACGACGACATCGAGCAGCAGCGTGAGCGTAGTCGAGACAAGCAGCGCAACGTCGAGCAGTACGATTTCGAGTGCGACACAGTCGAGCAGCACCACGCAGGCCAGCACTACGGTGAGCAGCGTCACGACGCTGACGGATACGACAGGGTCATTCAATACCACGCTGACCGAGACGAGTTCTTCGACGGTCAGTGCGAGCGGCACCAGCAGCACGACGGCCAGCTCGAGCGTGACCAGCAGCACAACTGCATCGTCCACCACCTTGACTTCCAGTGCATCGTTGTCTAGCAGTACGTCTCAGACGACCAGCAGTGCGACCTCGAGCAGCACGGTCACGACCAGTACGGTTTCGAGCAGTGCGACGTCCACGGCCACTTCCACGGTGAGCTCGACTAGCATTACAGCAAGCAGCACGACCACCGTCACGGTGACCACAGGTTCTTTCAGCACCACGGCCACAAGCACAGGCACATCTACCAGCGCGACCAGCTCGACGAGTGTCAGCAGTTTAAGCAGCACGTCGCTGTCTGCGACCACAGGCTCTTTCAGTGAAACGGTCAGCAGCAGTGCCACAGCAACAAGCACAAGTGGGACATCAAGCAGTACAATGTCGAGCGCAACGTTGTCGACACGGACCAGCGGTTCAGCGAGCAGCACGACCACAGTCACGGCCACTACAGGGGCATTCAGCAACACGGACACGAGCACGGGCACATCCACCAGCGTGACCAGTTCGACGAGTGTCAGCAGTTTAAGCAGCACGTCGCTGTCTGCGACCACAGGCTCTTTCAGTGAAACGGTCAGCAGCAGTGCCACAGCAACAAGCACAAGTGGGACATCAAGCAGTACAATGTCGAGCGCAACATGGTCGACACGGACCAGCGGTTCAGCGAGCAGCACGACCACAGTCACGGCCACTACAGGGTCATTCAGCACCACGGACACGAGCACGGGCACATCCACCAGCGTGACCAGTTCGACGAGTGTCAGCAGTTTAAGCAGCACGTCGCTGTCTGCGACCACAGGCTCTTTCAGTGAAACAGTCAGCAGCAGTGCCACAGCAACAAGCACAAGTGGGACATCAAGCAGTACAATGTCGAGCGAAACACGGTCGACACGGACCAGCGGTTCAGCGAGCAGCACGACTACAGTCACGGCCACTACAGGGTCATTCAGCACCACGGACACGAGCACGGGCACATCCACCAGCGTGACAAGTTCGACGAGTGTCAGCAGTTTAAGCAGCACGTCGCTGTCTGCGACCACAGGCTCTTTCAGTGAAACGGTCAGCAGCAGTGCCACAGCAACAATCACAAGTGGGACATCAAGCAGTACAATGTCGAGCGCAACATGGTCGACACGGACCAGCGGTTCAGCGAGCAGCACGACCACAGTCACGGCCACTACAGGGTCATTCAGCACCACGGACACGAGCACGGGCACATCCACCAGCGTGACAAGTTCGACGAGTGTCAGCAGTTTAAGCAGCACGTCGCTGTCTGCGACCACAGGCTCGTTCAGTGAAACGGTCAGCAGCAGTGCCACAGCAACAAGCACAAGTGGGACATCAAGCAGTACACTGTCGAGCGAAACACGGTCGACACGGACCAGCGGTTCAGCGAGCAGCACGACCACAGTCACGGCCACTACAGGGTCATTCAGCAACACGGACACGAGCACGGGCACATCCACCAGCGTGACCAGTTCGACAAGCAGTACGTTGAGCAGCACGTCCAGGACAAGCGGCTCGAGTGCTACGCTCACGAGTGAAACGAGCAGTGTTACGAGCTTCACGTCTATGAGCAGCACGACGGGTACAATCAGCGCGTCGCTGAGCAGCGTGACACAGACGGCCACTTCAACGACGGGAAGCTCAGTTGGGAGCATCACCAGCGCCACGCAAACCAGCAGCACGGCGAGCAGCACATGGAGCAGCACAAGGACGTTGACGGTCACCACAGGCTCGTTCAGCACCACGGGCACGAACACCAGCACATCCACCAGTGCAACCAGCTCGATGAGTGTCAGCGGGGTCAGCACCACGTCGACGGGTTTCGACAGCGAGACGGTGACCAGCAGTAGCACTGCAACAGGCACAAGCGTGAGTGCGACAACGGGTTCTTTCAGCGTGACGATGACCAGCAGCACGACTGTATCGAGTACGAGTACGACTCTGAGCTATACGACGCTCACGGTCACTCGGGCCCGACGGTAGATGTTTCCTCATGGCCTATTGGACTCGAATCAGTTTTCTTATCTCATCGCCCAAACCCGATCGATTGGATCCGTCGATGGTTGCGATCAGGAGTTCGACGTGCGGCGCACTCGGTTTTCGAACTCGAAACTCCTTTTGCCAAGGATGGCTGGAAATAATAGCCGCAGCGTGGCCAACAGATGTGATCGGGCTGCGGATGGTTGCAGTGCTGAATGCGCGCCCCTCGACCCAGCAGGCACAGTCGAGCTCGGGACCATGCCGAATGCTTCCGTGGCCGAGGCCTGCCGACCGAGCCCCACGCGGTGCTTGGCATCGCTCGGACGTGCGCATTTTTCCTTCGGCCAGGACCATCGGGGAGCATCCTTGATCATTTGGCGAAAAAGCCACGCACGAAACCGAGAAAAACACAGGGAATGGACGTCCAGGCGATGGCGAGGGTGTCGTCTGGCTCGATTGCCATGGCTTGTGCCTCCCTTGCCCCGATCCCGGAAACGCTGCATCCGAACACGTCGACGCCTCGTTTTTGCATGCTCCTGCTTCCGCCGTATCCTCCTCCTAGCCTCCTCCTGGCCTCCTCCTCCTCCTAGCCTCCTAGCCTCCTCCTCCTCCTCCTCCTCCTCCTCCTCCTCCTCCTCCTCCTCCTCCCTCCTCCTCCTCCTCCTCCTCCTCCTCCTCCTCCTCCCTCCTCCTCCTCCTCCTAGCCTCCTCCTCCTCCTCCTCCTCCTCCTCCTCCTCCTAGCCTCCTCCTAGCCTCCTCCTCCTCCTAGCCTCCTCCTCGGATTCCACGCGCGGGCCCGCCGCCGGCCGACCTCGGCCGGCCACTCCGCTGGCCTGCTGCCGGCCGCCGAGCGCGGGAGCAGCCTGCGCCGAGCGCGGGGGCGCCCCTCCCGAGCGCACGTGGCTGGCGCCCACTCCCCCCCCCTTCCCTTCCCCCTCTCTTCCTCCTCCTCCTCCTCCTCCTCCTCCTCCTCCTCTTCTTCTTCTTCTGAGCAGCCCGCCCGCGGGCGCCGCTCGCCCCTCCTCGCCGCCAGGGTGTCGTCGCTGTGGGCCCCGTCGCCCCGGCAGCGCCTCGTGGCCTGGGCTCCCGAGGGGATCCGGTTTTCTCCCCCGCTGCTCGAGCGCAGGGTGGGGGGGGCCGCCTCGTGGCCGAGGCTCGCCGGGGGTGGACCAGCGCGGTGTTTTTGGGCGACTGCGTGGGCCGTTGTCGTGTCGATTTTCGTCTTGCGTGAGAGGCGGATTGGAGACAACACGAGGGAGAGCGAGAACAAGGCGAAAGCGAAGAACACCGTTTAGGTTCAGCCCTGAGGCTCGCCGTGGCCAGCCCCCCAGTCCTTCGTTCCGCCATCAGCGCTCCGGACTGGCAGCACGATGGCCGCTTCCCTTTGGCATCGCGCGGACGTGTGCCCTTTTTTTATCGGCGAGGGCCATCGAGAAGCCTTCTCAGATCATCGTGCGAGAGTCAAAATCGCGCGAAGCGGAGCAAAAATGCACGGCGGAAAGAGACGTCCGAACGCTGGCGAGCTTTGGATCCAGTGGCGGCCCGTTTAGTATCCTTTAGTGGTGACCTCCCTTGTTGCCTTGCCTGGCCACCCCTCCCCAAATAACCGTCCAGTCCCCTCCCAACTTGGACTGGAGCAGCACTGGGGGCGGAGCATTGCACCGCATCGCCGGTGCATCATCGGCCCGACCGGGGCTCAAGAGACGGGGTCAATGCAAACGGGGGTCAGTCAGAGCGCCAGATCTTCCAGGATCCTGCAGGGCCAGGGTCGCACTGACCAAGGTTTGGGCGCAGGAGCCTGACTGACCCGTGTTTGCATTGACCCGGGTCAGTGCGTCCCCGACCCGACCCAGATCCCGATTCTCTCCATCCTGATGTCACCGGAGCATCTGCGAAACGTCGGCGATGACGTACGATCTTCCTCCCCCGTCTACTCGGACCCGATGTCTGAGGTTTGGGGGACGCGTAGTGGGGTGGCGATGAATGAAGGGGCAGCGAGGGCTGCAGAAAGGGGTCCTCTAGGGCCCTTCAAGGGACTCTTTAGGGCCCAGAAGGGGCTCCTTAGGGCCCCCAAAGGGTACCTGTCTCCCCCCATCCTTCATCGGCCCCCATTAATACTTCGCGCCCAACACGTGGGCCTCCAGACCTCTCGACACTTCTCCAAGGCCGCTGCTGTACGTTTGGAGTGAATTTTGCTTTGAGGGTCCCGAGGCCCAGAACCGGCCTCCCGAGGCCAATCATGACGAGAACACGTTGCGCATGCCACGGCTTCTTCTAAATGGCCATTCCTCCTCCTCCTCCTCCTCCTCCTTCTCCTCCTCCTCCTCCTCCTCTCTTTCCCCTCCTCCTCCTCCTCCTCCTTCTCCTCCTCCTCCTCCTCCTCCTCCTCCTCCTCCTCCTCTCTTTACCCCTCCTCCTCCTCCTCCTCCTCCTCCTCCTCCTCCTCCTTCCCCTCCTCCTCCTAATTATTCCCCCTTCTCCTCCTTCTCCTCCTCCTCCTCCTCCTTCTCCTCCTCCCTGGGCGTCGTGAGGTACGGTGCACGCGCCAAATAAGAATCGGCGGCGAGCGAGGGGGGAAGTTAGAAGGAGACGTCCTTCTCAGAAGGCGTCTTCTCAGAGGTTTTCTGGTGTCTTCGGGAAAGACTTCGGAAACTGTTCAGAAGGCCGGGGGACTTCCGAGCATTCTGAAAAGGCCCGCCCCCTCTCACTTTCCCCACTCGCTTGCCGCCGACACACGACATAATCAAGACAATAGTTCGTGCATTCGTAGGTCCTGATCTCGTTCTCCGCCAGCTCCTGCTGACTGCGCAGGTGCCCCCAGCCTTCAACCTCCTCCTTGCTTTCGCCATCCCCCTCGCCCATACCTCCCCCCTGTTGTGGTGGGATGCGTCAGCGTGGACGCCCCTTTCCCGAAGCTGACAGCAAGCTGGCCGCCTCGATTTTTCGAGGCGCCGGATGTACGCCTCCGACGTTGTTTTTTCCCTACCTAGGCCCTGCCTAGAAGGGTTCTTACTCTCTTGGCTTGAAGGGGCCGGGCAGTGTTCCCCGCCCCGGGCGGTTCCCCCAGGATCCGCCCCGCGGTTCCCCCAGTTGCGCCCCCTGCGTTCACCCAGCTTAGCTTAGCTAAGCTAAGCTAAGGTTAGCTTAGCTTAGCTTATCTCATCTTAGCTTAGCTTAGCTTTGCTTAGCTTAGCTTAGCTTTGCGTAGCCTAGCGTAGCTTAGCTTAGCTTAGCTTAGCGTAGCTTAGCTTAGCTTAGCTTAGCTTAGCTTAGCTTATCTCATCTTAGCTTAGCTTAGCTTAGCTCAGCTTAGCTCAGCTTAGCTTAGCCTAGCTTAGCTTAGCTTAGCTTAGCTTACATCAGCATAGCTTTGCTTACCTTAGCTTAGCTTAGCGCGGCGCAGCATCGCGCAGCGCAGCATTAGCACAGCATAGCAAAGTATAGCATAGCACAGCATAGCATATCATAGCTCAGTATAGCATAGCATAGCATAGCATCGCAACGCATAGCGCAGCACATCACATCATAGCATAGCATAGCATTGCTTAGCATAGCACAGCGCAGCATATCACAGCATAGCACAGCACAACATAGCATGTCATATCATAGCATAGCATAGCATAGCGCAGCATATCATAGCATATCATAGCATAGCATAGCACAACATCGCATACCATACCATAGCCTAGCATAGCATAGCACAGCGCATCATAACATAGCGTAACATAGCGCAGCATCGCGTAGCATAGCATATAACACAGCGCAGCCGAGCGTACCCTAGCATAGCATAGCATAGCATAGCGCAGCATAGCGCAGCATAGCGCAGTATAGCGCAGCATAGCAAACCATATCATAGCATAGCATAGCATAGCGCAGCATAGCGCAGCAAATCATACCATAGCATCGCATATCATATCATAGCCCAGCATAGCATAACATAGCAGCAAAGCAATTCAAAGGCAAAGCAACAGCAGCAACATCAAAGCAAAGCACAAGCAACGCAAAGCCGGACCTGCAGAGCTGAACAGCCCACAGCTCTTGCAGGAGCCGCGAGCAGCAGGTGTAGATGCAGGTGTAGATGTAACTGTAGCTGTCGGTGTAGATGTAGATGTTGCTTTCCTAAATGCTCCAACTCCTAGGTAGGGTCGCACTGGGATAATTCTGTTTTGTAGTTGTCTTGTTTTCTGTTCTCGTCTCGACCCCTTTCCCAGGGTGTTTGTTTAGCCCCAAGTTGTTTCTGGAATGTCCCGGGGCTGGGAGGCGGCCTCGAGAGGCCGGAGACTGCGAGGCACAGGTCGTCGCAGTTTCGGTTTGGCGACGCTCGGATGCGACAGTCACATAGTCCCCCAAAGCAGAAACCGGCTCCTGGAGGCGTCCTGGGTCGCGTCCTCGCCAACATCTCGAGGGGAATCGAGCCGTGGCCACGAGAGCGCCCCATGACGCCCAGGAGGAAGATGAGGAGGAGGAGGAGGAGGAAGGAGGAGGAGGAGGAGGAGGAGGAGGGAGGAGGAGGAGGAGGAGGAGGAGGAGGAGGAGAGGAGGAGGAGGAGGAGGGGGAGGGGGAGGAGGAGGGAGGAGGAGGAGGGGGAGGGGAGGAGGGGGAGCAGGAGGAGGGGAGGAGGAGGAGGAGGAGGAGGAGGAGGAGGAGGAGGAGGAGGAGGAGGAGGAGATGGAGGAGGTGGCGGTGGAGGAGAAGGAGGAGGAGGAGAAGGAGGAGGAGGCGGAGGAGGAGGAGGAGGAGGAGGAGGCGGGGGGGAAGAGAAGGAGGAGCGCATCGCACATCCTCGAGCCTCGGACCTCGAGATGGGTCCTTCCCCTCCTCCTCTCGGAGGACTGAGATGGGCGACAGCACCACCGCCACCAGGGGGGCCACCTCCCGCGAGGTGGTCCACGAGCCCTCCCCGAGCCGGGGTTCGGGGGTATCTCGAGCGAGAGGGGGGGGGGCCCAGACCCCCTCGCGTTGGTGCAAAATCGCGACGGGAGGCTTTCCGCTATCTTCGGGCTCTGGGGGGCCTTTCCCAGGCCTCGGCGCCGTCAAAGAACGACTCGGGACGAAAAGCCCGTCCCCGGGAAGGGGTCCGGACTTCTGGGGGTCCCGTCATGAAAAAATCATGGCGTCGGGGGTCTGGGGACCACGGCCACCAGGGGGGCCCTCCCTGGCTCATCTGGCTGGTGGTAGTAGCGTCGCCCTCCCTCGTTCCCGTGGGAGGTGGCCAGGCGGCGCACCCTCCGAGGAGAGGGCTGGCCAAACCGTGTGCGAATACGGCTGCTCCTCACAGGAAGGAGTATCCATTGGTCGTTGAAAGTAGGTATTTGAGCGCCTTCCTACTTCAATGATCGAGTGGTTTCAGCTGTTCCGTCCTCCCGAGGGTGCGGACGGAACCCAGTATATTTTAAACGCCTTCCTACTTCATGTTTCTACCTACTTCTTCCGACCGATGGGTATGTAATCCAGATCGATCGAGGACAAGTGGCCCAAGCTTCTTAGCAAGGCTGGCCAGCAGCGCCGCTCGTAGTTCGTTTCGACCACTGCGTGGGACAGCTCGTCACTCGCAACCCAACCAAAACCGCGCTCCTGCCGCGCGCGCGGCCAGTCGTCGTCGTCGTCGTCGTCGTCGTCGTCGTCGTCGTCGTCGTCGTCGTCGTCGTCGTCGTCGTCGTCGTGGTCGTCGTGGTCGTCGTGGTCGTCGTGGTCGTCGTCGTCGTCGTCGTCGTCGTCGTCGTCGTCGTCGTCGTCGTCGTCGTGTTCGTGGTGGGCGTCGTTTTCGTCGTCGTCGTCGTCGTCGCCCCTCCCTCCCAACCAAAGCCGCGGCCCCCGGCCCCGCGCCCCGCCGCTCGGAGCTCGGAGAGCGGAGAGGTCGTGACCAGCGCGACCCTCACCACCGTGACCTCGACCACGACGCTGGCGGCCGCGCGCCTACCCTCTGACTCTCCTGCTCCTCCTCCTCCTCCTCATCCTCCTCCCCCTCCTCAACCTCCTCCCCATCCTCCTCCTTCTCCTGCTCCTCCTCCCCCTACTCCTCCTCATGGCCATTCCTCCTCCTCCTCCTCCTCCTCCTCCTCCTCCTAATGGCCATTCCTACCCCTCCTCCTCCTCCTCTCCTGCTCCTCCTCCTCTCCTCCTCCTCCTCCTCCCTCCTCCTCCTTTTCCTCCTTCTCCTCATCCTCCTCTTCCTAATGGTCATTCCTCATCCTCCCCCCCCTCCTCCCCTTCCTCCTCCCCCTCCTCCTCCTCCTCCTCTCGTCCTCCTCCTCCTCCCCCTCCACATCCCCCTCCCCCTCCTCGTCCTCTTCCTCCTCCTCTCCACCCTCCTCCTCCTCCCTCCTCCTCCTCCTCCTCCTCCTCCTCCTCCTCCTCCTTCTCCCTGGGCGTCGTGAAATGCGGTGCACCAGATAAGAATCGGCGGCGAGCAAGGGTTGGAAATGAGAAGGAGAAGGCCTTCTCAGAAGGCGGCGGGGCTTCTCAGAAGACCACCGGTCTTCTGAGAGGTTTTTTTTGTCTTCGGGGAAGGCTTAGAGAACTTTGCGGAAGGCTGGGGGATTTCCGAGCCTCTTGAGAAGGCCCGCCCCTTCTCACTTCCCCCCTGGCTCGCCGCCGAAAGAAACCGGCCTGCCAACGGGTGCCCCGCGATGATTTCCTAGCCTCCGAGGGGCCCGCAGTGCCCTGGGGCACCTCCCGAAGCGGAGAGTCGACGAAGGGTGCGCCCCCAGATCTCTTGTAGCAGGATCCCTTACAGTCGAGCATCTGCTTAGCTTTTCTTGCTCATATATTTTCGGCTGGTGTCGTGCGCGCCTGCCGTGACAGTCGTCGCGGCAGTTGGTCTTCCGTGATCTTCGGCCGCCGGAGGCCGCATCCGATCTCCGGGGCCCTCGGAAAGCAGGGCGGGATGATCAGCGGTACAGTCAACTGGCATATTAAGGATGGGCAATCTTCCCAAGGGTACCCTTGCATCCTTGCCTCCTGGTCCATCCTTGGCTGCTTTCGCTGGCCAACCTCGTTCGGAGATCGTGAGCGTGGCCCTCCAAGGCCCTTGCATCCTCCCCGCGCATCCTTCTCTTACGGGTTGACTCTGCCCGGGAGAGGGCCGAGATCCCGGCACGGGGGGGCCACGCCACGAACAACATGCGCCGTCGGGGGACGGGGTGGTGGGAGACCCTGGCAGGCTCCCAGAGCTCAGGAGCGAAAGAAAGACGTACATGTACACGAATCCGCGCTGGTTTCGAGAGTACGCCTTGCGCAAATGTTCGTATTAACGCGGCCCGTCTCGCGGATCGAGGGGCCGTGTGCATGTGCATAGCTGGGCGCGTACGTCCTTTGTGGGCTCCCTAGGAGCGAGAGTCGAAAAGTCCAAGCTTGAGGACCATCAGGGCCTCTGGGCGCCTGTGGTTTCGCTGTTTTCACACCCGGGAGGCTTCTCGTCGCCGCGGCTGGACCCGCGTCTCCTGCTCCTCCTCCCCCTCCTCCTCCTCCTCCTCCTCCTCCTCCTCCTCCTCCTCCTCCTCCTCCTCCTCCTCCTCCTCCTCCTCCTCTCTGTGCTCCCCATAGTAGTGGTGGTGGGAAGTCGGCGCATCGAGTGGGGCGGCGCGAAGATGCGACTGTGCGTGGGTGTGTCCGTGGGTCGATGTTTCCTTGGCCAGGCTTGTCCGGAGAAGTGGTTCCTTTCTGCATCAGGTTTGGGCCACGTCTGTGGGCGTGGCTGGGCTCGTGGCTGGTGCTGGGGACTCCACACCCAGGCTTGCTTCTGATCTGATCCTCTGGGTGCAACTCTTCAGAGATGGCCGCAACAAGCAATTTTCCCAGAGCTTTCTGGACTGCTTCAGCATCCGGGGGCAACTCGAGCGCGAATTTCGGGTGGCGCGTTCCCAGTGGACTGGGCCAATCCTCGGCGAAAAAGGCTGCTCCCCAGCGGCGCCGGTAAGTGACCTGATTCGTTTGTCGTCGCGTGCCTCGCGAGTGTTTCGCACGGGGTCGCCCCTGGAGCAGCCGTAAAATAAAGTGCACAACGTGTGAAAGACCATCCGGTGTTCGAGAGAGATCGTCAGGGAGTGGCCTATCTGTGCGCGCGCGTGCGCGCGTGCAGCGCGCGTGCGTGCGGACTACTCGAGTGAAGATGATGCGCAGAGTAGGGATTCGAGAATAGGGGGAGGAACGCTGATGCTGATGATGCTGGTGAGGATGATCATGACTTTGATTCGGAATAACGAACAAAGACACGGGAAAGGAAGCACACTCGGAATGATAGACAGGGGGACGGGGCGGGGGACGGGCCGGATGGGGAGAGTGCTGACAGCGACGAGTGGGCGGAGGGGGATGTCGGACAGTGGGGGGCAGGAAGGTAAGGGAGGACTGACACGAAGAAACCGCATTGACAGATGATGGGGATGCTGATGATGCTGCTGATGCTGCTGATGATGCTGATGATGCTGGATGTGCTCTCGGGTTACCATATTGCCCGGGAATGCGGCGGGGAATGTGTGAGGGAGCTCGACGGCTTCTTCCGTAGCTGCTTGGGCTCAAGCGAGCCCAAAACGGCTGGGGCGGCCCCCCCCCATCCGCGGCGTTCCCGCGCGCGCGTGCCCGCGGTCGGCCATAAGGCCCCGAGGAGGGGGCTTGCGGCGAGCAGGTTGGGGTGTGCCGCCTGGCTAGACCCAGAACTCCGGGCATCCGCCCGTGATGCGTAGGTCGCCTTCGGGCAAGGGGCGGAGGTGTCGCCCACCCGCCCGTGGGGCGGGGAAGGGCCGACACGCCTCACTGTCTCCGCCCGCCGCAGGCGGGGCGTTCAAGAGACCAGCGGCAGCTGTCGGCGAGGGCGACGAGATCAGGGCGAAGAAGAATCGTCGGAACAGCGGTAAGAGCAGACCTCAGTCAGACGTCCCCGCGCTCGTCGACGACGAGGAGCCACCCCCACGCCCGAAGCCGCTAAACAAGGTGATTACTGCATCCAGAGCGAGGATTGGCCACATCGCGAAGCGCTCTGAGCCGTGGAACACGAGCGACCAGAGTGACTGGTACACTCCTCTCATCGCGGTGCGTGACGGCGAGGTGCTCGAGTGCAGGGGTGGGTACCATGGCTCCGCGAAGCACTTCGCCATGTCCCTGAGGGGCGGAGCGTTCACCGTCAACGGGCGGAACGGCTGCCTCTTGAAGGGCGAGTTCATGGACATGATGAAGGGGTCGGGAGCAGCCACGCTGTCCGCCGTACTGCGTGGCCCACGCGGAGACGGCCTCGTGCACTTCTGCAACGGTGCTGCGGGCGACTGCGAGGGCAAGACTCCTGACAAAGGCAGGGAGCTGGTCCACGTGGACTCGTGCCGGTTGCGGCCCGTCCCCGAGGCACCTCGAGCGGCACTTCAGCTCCCCATCGCGGGCCCCCCGGCGCCTGCGGGGAGTGAACGGGGCGAGGCCCCGAAGGGTGATCCGGCTGGAGGTGCTGCTGTGTTCGGCGGCGACGACGATCGCTCCGGCGCCTCGAGGGCTGGCGGAGCTGCTGCTTCCTCGCGCAGGCCTGACATCGAGAGCAGAGCTGCGGGCGAAGCTCAAGCCTGACGGGCTGGGTCAGAAGGAGGCTCGCGGCGCTGCCGCGCTGGCGGGGATCGGCCAGATCTTGGCGGAGCGGGCCGTCGTGGCGCGCGGGCGCGCGGATGGGGGGACGGGCGGGGCAGGCGTTCAACGCGGCGCGCCGCGCGGTCGAGAATGCCGCGCGGAGGCGGGGCGCCGTGCCCCTGACTTTGGCGAGCGCGGGCGAGCGCGTCGAGGCCTTGTTCCAGCGTCTGAACGGCCCCGGGTGCGCGACGATGCATCGTGGCGACGAGAGGCGCACCTTCCGCTGGAAGGTTGGCATCGGGGCGTGGACGCGCTTGCAAGAGCTTCTCGCGAGCTACATGCATGGGGGCAATATGGTGGCGTCGTCGCCGACAGGCGCCTGTCTGACGTTCCTCGGCGCGCGGCGGCGCAGCTGGAGGCGGCGCAGCGCGTGGAAGAGGCTGCCGTGCACCTTTGCCACCAAGCCCGAGAGGCTGACGCGGGTTCAGATCGAGCCAAGGCTTCCACCCGCGGAGCGGCGCGGCAACCTGAAGGCGATCAACTTCTGCAGCGACGCTGTGCGCTATGCCCTCGAGCACGAAGAGTTGTCCATCCTGCCGCTCGATGAGTGGCCTGAGGTGGGGCCAGCCATGGTGCGCTGTGATGGTGGCGAGTGGGGTTGCATCGCTGGGCAGCTGCTGGACCGCGGAATCCTAGCGGAAGCGGTTGGGCAACGAGAGCTTTCGGCGCGGCGAAGAGCGGTGAAGCACTTGAGGGTCATCGCCACCAGCGGCGCCTGATCACCAACCTCGCGCCGACGAGTGCAGGTCAGACCCTCGTCACGGGAGATATCGACAAGCTCCCCCTTCCAGGAAAATGCGCTCGGGCCGTGCTGATGAACGATGAGGTTGCTCTCTTCTCGCGGGGCGACATCTCAGGCCGTTTTCACCTGTGCGCCCTGCCGGCTCACTGGTGGCGCTGGTTTGCCTTCTCGAAACCGCGGGAGAAGTGGATCAGCGCCGCTGAGTACCGTGAGATGTACGTCTGCGTGAGGGTCACCCCGAAAGGGTGGTTGTCGGCGGTCGGAGTGGCGCAGCACATGCGCAGGCAGATTGCTTCGGACGGGTCGCGGGCCAGCGCGAGGCTGGCGGTGAGCCGGGAGTTGCTGCGAGATCAGCCCTTCCCCGTCCGTGAGGATCCCGCTCAGAGGTGGCGCTGGAGCATGTGCGTCGACGACTCAGAGGAGACAGAGTTCGCGAGGTCTCCGAGTGGGGGGACCTGCAGGGGGCGCTCTCCGAGCACCGAGCCGCGCTGCGACGAGGGCTGAAGGCCACGTCGGTACCTACCTCGATCACGACGGGGGTCGCCCGCCCCACCCGCGCGGCGCGCAAGGGCGTGGGCGTGGGCGGTTTCGCGGGGCGGGCCGCACCGCCCATCGAGAGGTTCTTGGAGCATTGTGCGCTCGCGGCCTGGATGCTGGATCAGCAGGACTCAAGCCTCGTCGAGATGCAGGCCTTGCGCGGCCGCTTGGCGTCCAACCTCACGTTGCGACACCAAGCCTTGTGCTGCCTCGACGAGGCGCGGCGCTGGATCGGCAGGGTGCAATTCCTATCATGCCGAGCGCAGCTCGGAGAGCGAGTGAGGGACGAGCCAGTCAAGTACATGATGAGTCTGCCGATGCTGGTCGCTGACGCGCACCGACCATTCGACTGCCGCCCCAGTGCCGCCAATGCCTCTGAGCGGCGGTGGAGTTTCAGTTGGAATCAGCCTCGCCGCTGAGGGAGTGGCGGCTGCGCAGCGCCATGCCTCGGTCCCCGTCGCGCTGCGCGAGCGCGGGGTCGCGGTTGTGGAGTTCTTCGGCGGGATCGGCGGCCTCGGGATGAGTGTGGACTGGCTCGTAGTGCGCGTGATATGCGCTGGCTATGCGGAGACCGACACAGCGGCCCGAGGTGTTTGCCGCAGGAATTGGCCCGGCGATGTCGAGTGGCCCGGCGTGCGGAATGTTGCCCGGCGAGAGCTCGACGACCTGCGGTGGGCCTGTCCTGAGGCCGCGGCCGCGTTGGCGCCTGCGGCCCGCCGCGCTGGGGAGTCAGATGGCGGCCGCGGGGCTCTACGCGCGCAGACCCACGGTCTGCGCTGTTCCTCGGGGTCCCGAGGCTGCAGGCTGAGCCCAGGGCCGCCTTTCACGACGTCCCCATCCTTGACTTCCGCGAGAACGTGGCCTCGATGAGGGTCAGCGACGCTGCCGTCGCGTCGGAGGCCATGGCGAGGCACCCCCTGCGCGTTGACTCCGCGGGGGTGTCTACCGTGGCGAGGCCGCGCCTCTACTGGCCCAGCTACCCCATCTTCGAGACGGAGGGCGTCGCGGTGGCCGAGGGAGGCGTCGCAGACCTCGTCGAGCTGGAGTCGACCGAGGTGGAGCCGCGCGAGCTCTGGCTTGAGGAAGGTCGGGTCTGGGATGCACCTCTGGACCAGAGGTTGCCCACATTCGCGCATGCTGTCCTTCGGGCGGGCCCGGGGGCTGACCCGCGAGTGGCCCAGGGGTGCGTTGCCGTCGCCCTCGAGCATTGGAGTGAGGACCGGCGCAGATTCGCCCCCTGCCAGTACCGGCCTCAGTTCTGCATCAGTGGGCGGGGCCCGCCCTATCCCGCGGCTGCCGAGCGGGAGACCTCACCGGGGCACTGGCCTGGGTGCACGTTCGTGGGCATGATGGATTTGCGCGGCATTGGGCCCTGGAGACGACAGCAACTCGAGGATAAACGTTGCTCGCAGCTGGGGAACGCGTTCCACGCGGGAGTCGCGGCGTGGCTGGTCGGCCAGCGCATGTGCTGCGCCGAGCTCCTGGAGTGCCCGCCGACGCCGTCGGTGACCCAGGCCACCTTCTGCAAGTACGCGGCGAGGCGCAAAGCCTACGTGCTGGACCAGCAGCGGCTCGATCGCGAGATGCCCGCCACGCAGAGGTTCAGCGCAGAGGCGCCGAGCGAACAGGGTTTGCAGTAGCTCATGCACAACCCCATGTTCGAGATGCACCGCCGAGCAGACCGTCGCGGCAGTGATATCAGGCTGGACATTGGGCCGCCGCGTCGATGCAGTGCCTGGCCGAGGGTCAGCATTGACCAACGCCGCTGGTGCTGGAAGCACGCGGTGGCGGCGCGATTCCATCGCTCGCGCCGCGTCAACGAGCTGGTGCTGCAGATGGTTCACAATGCGCTGCGGTAGAGGATGCGCCACTTCCGCGCCCTCGGGTCGAGGGGGCGTTTCCTCGCGGGCTCGCAAGTGACTGTGGCTCCGAGGCCCGAAAACCGTAGCGTCATTAGTTTTGGGCCCCAGGGCCCACTGAGGCCCAGACAAGTGAAGCGATGTTTCCCCCCCCCCCCCGCGCAAGGGCCCCGGAATTCATCGCTTCACTAAACCGAACACTAAACCGAACCCCGGGCGGAAGCCGGGGGCCGAATTGCTGCTGCGATGCAACATAGGTCTCGTATGTGGCGGTCGCTGCGAAGGGCCGCTCGTCATCGCGTCACGCGAGCGCCGTCCTGTGCCGCCTCGGTGCCCTTTGCCTCGCAACCTTCTGCGCGCCCTTCTGTGCGCGCGCGGCGGACAATCCTGCCGACGCTCCGAGCAGGGCGCCGCGGGCACTGAGAGGTCGAGGTCTGGTGTCGCCGAGGGCGCGAGAGGGCTGAGTCAGACAGCGCGGGCGGCAATGGGCAGGCTGAGCGACAATGTCGCGGCGCAGTGCATTCAATGTGCTGCAAGATTTTCCGAGTGGGCGAATGGCCGAACGTCTCGGCCGAGCGTCGTGAATTTTGACCAGCTGGATCAGCTGTGCGCGGAGTGCGCGGAGTACCTCTGGGGAGAGGGTGAGCCGAATGGTTGGGCAGCCTGCGCTCACGCAGCGGCGCAACACTTCTTTCCAGGCGCCTGGCATCACTTGCCGTCGGCGTGGCGCTTGAACGCAGCTTGGGACATATAGGAATTGCCACAGCGGGCGCCGCTGCTTCCTCATGCGGTGGCGCTGGCGATTGCAGGCGTAATGTACGACGTGGGGCACCCGCGTTCCGTTCTCGCCGTTGCAGTCGCGTTTCGTTGCGTGCTGCGAACGGACGAGATCCCGGCGATTCGTAAGCGTGACATTACGATCGCCCAGACGAAGAGAAATGCTGTCAATAATTTTCGTTTCGTTATGTCTGGTCAGAGGCTAGATCAGCATGATGGTTAGCGTCGATGAAGCTATTTTGGGGACGAAGAGATGTGGGGAGGATATGGAGGAGGGGGAAAGGAGGAGCAGGAGGAGGAGGAGGAGGAGGACGACGAGGAATTGGAGGAGGAGGAGGAGGAGGAGGAGGAGGAGGAGGAGGAGGAGGGGAGGAGGAGGAGGAGGAGGAGGAGGATGAGCCGACGAGATCGCGTCGGGCGCCCGCGCGCCTGCCTCCAGCCATGGAGGAGGACCCCGAACGGTCAGATGGAGACCCCTTCCGGGCCGCCTCCGCGATCATTTAGATCCCTCGACCAGCGTGGCTCTGGCGAGGGGGGGAATGGCGGCGCGGCCGAGACCATGGCGTCACAAAGGGCGGAAATAGGAAAAAGAGGGGGAAGGTGGATGATGATGAAGATGATGATGATGATGATGATGATGATGATGATGATGATGATGATGATGATGATGATGATGATGAGAGGAGGAGGAGGAGGAGGAGGAGGAGGAGGAGGAGGAGGAGGAGGTAGGGGAGGAGGAGGAGGAGGAGGAAGAGGAGGAGGAGGGAGGAGGAGGAGGAAGGGGAGGAGGAGGAGGAGGAGGAGGAGGCGGAGGAGGAGGAGAAGGATGAGGAGGAAGGAGAGGAGGTGGAGTTGGAGGAGAGAAGGGGAGGAGGAGGAGGAGGGGAGGAGGAGGAGGGGAGAGGAGGAGGAGGAGGAGGAGGAACAGCAAGGTAGGTGGTTGGCGGAACGGTGGAGGAAGGGGGGAGGAGGAGGAGGAGGAGGAGGGCGGTGCGAGCGGAGAGGGTCCGCCTGAGGCCATGGGGCTGTCTGTGACTCCCTCTGCGCTCACGTCCTGCAACGCGCTGCTGGTAAAGGCGCGCCCGCCCCCCTTTTCTGTCCGCGGTTTTCCGCCGCCGCCGCCCGAGCACGACTCGCCGCAGAGGAGGATGATTATGAGGAGGAGGAGGAGGGAGAGGAGAGGAGTGAGGAGGAGGAGGAGAGGAGGAGGAGGGGAGGAGGATGAGGAGAGGAGGAGGAGGAGGGGAGGAGGAGGAGGCGGAGGAGGAGGAGGATTATGAGGAGGAGGAGGAGAAGGACGCGAAGAGGGAGGAGGAGGGGAACGAGGAGGAGGAGGAGTAAGAGGAGGAGCAGGAGCAGGAGGAGCAGGAGGAGGATGATCATGATGATGCTGTTGCTGATGCCGCTGCTGCAAGGGTGATGATGATGATGATGATGATGTTGATGATGATGATGGTGATGATGATGGTGATGATGATGATGATGATGATGATAATGATGCTGATGATGATGATTAGGATAGTGATGATGACGATGATGATGATGACGATGCCGATGATGATGATGATGATGATGATGATGATCAGGGGGAGGATGAGGAGGAGGAGGAGGAGAACGAGGACGAGGATGATGATGGGGATGATGATGATGATGATGATGATGATGATGATGATGATGATGATGATAGTGATATTGATGCTAATGATGATGCTGATGATGCTGCTTCTGAGTGTGATGCTGATGATGATGCTGCTGCTGTTGCTGATGCTGAGGTTGCTGATGATGATGAGGAGGAGGACGATGCGGATGATGATGCTGATGATGCTGATGATGATGATGATGATGATTATGCTGATGACAATGATGATGCTGATGATGATGATGATGCTGATGCTGATGCTGATGCTGATGCTGATGATGATGACGATGACGATGATGATGCTGTTGATGATGATGCTGATGCTGATGATGATGAGGCTGTTGATGGTGATGCTGTTGCTGCTGATGATGATGCTGATGAGGATGCTGATTATGATTATGATGATGCAGCTGCTGCTGCTGATGACGATGATGCTGATGATGATGATGCTGATGACGCTGATGATGATGCTGATGATGATGATGATGATGATGAGGATGCTGCTGATGATGCTGATGATGATGATGATGATGATGATGATGATGATGATGCGGATGATGCTGCTGCTGCTGATGCTGATGATGATGCTGATGATGATGATGATGATGATGATGATGATGATGATGATGATGATGATGATGATGATGATGATGATGAGACGGAGGAGGAGGACGACGACGAGGAGGAGGAGGAGGAGGAAAAGGAGGAGGAGAAGGAGGAAACCTAGCTTGGGGTGGGGGGGGCGACCCCAGACGTCGTGAAGGGGTATGCAGGGGGCGGGGGACGACATGGGGAAGGGGGAGCTGAGAGGAGAGGAGAGGAGAGGAGCACAGGCTGGCTGCGCTCGCGCCATATCTGCCATCCCATTCCCAACCCATCCCTTTCCGTTGCGCTGTGTTTTTTCTCCGTCCGCCGACGGGCGTCATAGCGGACCTGACCCCCCCCCCCCAAACAATAGGAAAAGGGGAGCCGTGTACATCGGAGGAGGTGGTGGCTGAACAGGAGGGTTGGCAGGATGAAGGGGACGAGGAGGATGAGGACGAAGGACGACAAGGAGGAACATCCGCGTCAGGAGCAGGAGTGGGAGGAGCGGGAAGACCACAATGACCAGGGGAAAGCGGGGGAGGGGAACTGAGCGGGTTGACAACGATGGGGAAAGATTCGGGTTCAGAAAGGTGGCCCGCGCTTGGGCGACAGCTCTGTTCTGAAACGGCGCCTGTCCTGAGAGGTGGCCCACGCTGCAGCTGGACACACAATCTTGAAGCAACCGCTCCGACAGTAAAACGACACATGCAAATACTGAAACCCTTGTTTGGAGCCCAGCGTGTGTTGAAACGGAAATGCACGGAGAGGGCGGGATGGTTTCAGGACGTAGTCGGGGAAGAGAGGGAGAGTAGTGCTCATATTGGGTGACTGTGGGGAAAGAAGAGGAGGCGAAGGAGGAGGAGGAGGAGGAGGAGGAAGAGGAGTGTGCACGTGTGCTGCTGCGGCGTGGACGCCATGTCGCGCAAGCTCGTTCATTCTCACGGCCTTTGCCTCCACTGGATGAGCGTGGTCAGGGAGGGCTGGACGCGGGTGGAGGTGCTTCGCTCGTACAGCACGCGAGCCGCGGCCGATTGGAGGCTGGGTGTGTCTTGTCGCTGGCCCTGTGCCACTCGGACGGCAGCCCGAAGAAGGAGAGAAGTAGGGGGGGTGGAAGGGGACCCGAGCAAACCCAAGATGTACCAACGCTGCTGCGCTACACCCTCCCGTCCCATGTCCCCTTCTCTCCTCCTCCCCTCCTCCTTCTCCTCCTCCTCCTACTCCTCCCGCTCCTCCTTCCCCGTAGCCATTTTGGTTCAAGTCCCATTTGGCCCCCGTGCGGGGGCCAAAGGGGGCGCGAGCGCCGTTGCTTGTCTGGCTCCAGGCACGCCGCGGCAGCGAGGCAGCCCTCACCACCAGGCCTCCGCTGCTGGTGGCTTCTGGCGTTTGAGTCGCGGTTCACTGACCGCGCACCTTCCATTTTCGACTACGACTGGCTCTCCTCGACGGCCACCATGGGTGCTGACCGTGGCACTCGGCGCGCTGGCAGCTGCTCTGGCTCCTCGGGTCGCAGTGGCGCCACTGATGGGGAACGGGACGCCTCTCGCAGCGGCAACAGCCAGCGGCGGCGGCGTCGGCATGCTGCCCGTGGACGCGCCGCGCGGGAGAAGGAGAGTCGCGACCGTCTCCACGAGCGTGATTTTTGGAGCCAGGCGGCTAGGCAAGGCGGTGGACGGCGCGCTGGCGAGGGGCCGCCCCTGACTCCTGCTCGTGGACACCCACCTGCGCATGCCGCCCCTGCTGCTTCATCAGCTTCGGCTCTGCCTGCGGCGGCGGCCCTGCCTGGTGCCGATGCATCGGCTCTTCGTGCGTTTGCTGGCGTGCCCGAGAGCGTCGCGCAGGCGCTGTCCCAGAGCCTCAACGCGACGACGTCTGCGACGCAGGCGCTGATGGCATCGCCCAGCGCCGCCCACGCCCAGGAATGCTCGGCTCGCCTCTTGGTCATCGACTCCGACGTGGCCCGCATGCGTGAGCGGCAGGGCCAACTGGAGGCCGCCAACATGGAGCTGCGGGCGTCGGTCCAGGGCATTTCGGAGGCGCTGGAGCGGGCGGAGTCGCATGTGCCCCTCTTCCAGGCCGGGCGGCAGGAGATGTGGGACAGGCCCGCGGCGCCGAACCACTTCCAGATCCAGGTGGAAGAGGACATCACCAGTGCGGAGCTCATCACGAGCATGGACGAGTGGTTCCTTGCTGGCGGCGTCGCGGCTGGCCAGTACGAACTCCACTTTTTGCCGCCAGGTAAGCATGTCGTGCTGGAGCTTACTGGCGGCGTGGTCGACTATGAGCGGGCGAAGTGACTGGCAGGTCAGCTTCGCGTGTCTGGTGGTTGGAGGCAGTTCGGCGCCGGCGGCCGCAAAATGTTCATCAACGTGGACAAGTCCAAGCGCACGCTGTGGCCGGTGGAGCTGCACACCAAGCGCCTTGCCCAGGCGCTGGCGGAGGTCATGGGCGATCCACATCGTTGGTGGCCCCACAAGGCGAAGGCGGAGGTCAGGCTCGACCACGAGCCCGTGGCTAGAGTCTTGGTCACGGACGAGGACGCGGCGACGCAGCTGCGCTGGAACAGCGAGATGGTGGCGAAGCTGGGCATCGCCAGGGCCAAGGTGCAGGAGGTCTTTGCGCGCCTCGCTGGCGGGGCGAGGGGGGTGGAGTGGTGTCCCTCACACTTGCTCGGCGCGCTGGCGCCCTTGGCAGTACCTGTGCACGGAAGCATACAACAGCCCCCTGAAGGTCATCTCTTGGAATGCGCGTGGTCTGGTTCTTCGAGATCTGGTCCGTCGACGGCGTAAACTTGCTGTTCTTCGGTCATATATGGCTAAGCAGTGCGTGATCATGGTTCAGGAGACGCATGGTGCTGCGGTTCTCATCGGGTCTTCCGTGCGCTCCCAGCCGTACTTGTCCAAGGTGTTTTTCTCTGCTCTTCGTGAAGGGCGTGGTGGTGGCGTGGCTGTGCTTGTTCCTCGCTCGGGTGTGCGTGAGTGGTCCTCCGTGCATCCATCGTGGCATCCGGTCACCACCTACAAGGAGTTGGTGCCAGGACGTGCGCTCATGGTTCGAGTGTGTGTCGCTGTTTGTCGCCCTTGTTCGGCTCCGATGCTGGCTGCTGGACCTAACGAATGCCGCGCGGGCCTCCCCGTGCTCAACATCCACAACCATGATCTCCCAGCATCTGATAGGTCGGCAGTTGCGACGGCCTGGTGTTCAGCTATGCGCGCTGCTCGTGACAGCCCGATGCTCCTGCATCGCGGCGGTCGACTTCAATACTCCCGTGGGTGACCGCCGCCACTATCGGAACCCGACTCCGACGGCCCTGCGCTCTCCGATTCGAGATCGCCAGGCCAGGTCGTTTAGGCGCGACCTTTTTTCGACGAGTGCGTGGAGGCCAATGGGAAGCAGGACACCCACTAAGCGATCATGGCGTTGTGGGACTTGTGCTGGGCCTTCGCAGGGAGCGGCCGTTGGCGGAGAGGAGATCCCCGTCTTTCTCTTCTCGTCGCCCCTCTACCCGAGCTACTTCAAGGAAGTCCACGCTGCCGAGCGCGAGCTTCTTCAAGCGCGGGGAGGTGCAGGAGAGGCTCAGGATGACTGGGCAGCTGCCAAGCGGGCAATTGCATCGGCGGCGAAGGCCACGCGGAACCACCCGATGGCGCTCCCCGACCTCCAGGGCCTGCCGAGCGGTGCCGAGCTGAGCGCGTTGATCATGCGGTCGGCAGCCCGCGCGATCTGGACACATGATGCCACCGCCGCGCGCATGCTGGTGAAGACGTCTGCGCTGGCGAAACGTCACTTTCGATTTCAGGATGGCCAGGTGCTTGCTACCGACTTCCTCCAGTTTGGGAGGCAGCCCGCTCCTCCACTGAGCACGTGCATGAGGAGCGGCGCCGGGAGGCGACTCGCCGCCCTCGGCGCGCCCATGCCACTGCGCAGGTGCAGGAGGGCGACTATTGGAAGCGGAAGCAGGGCGGCATCCTGAAGAAGGCTCAGCTGTGGCTCCGCAAGCATCCAGTCTGGCAGCACAGCGGGGTCATGGTGTGCGCTGCGGACGAGGCATGGCAACCTCGAGCGCCCTCGCGCTCTTCTGATATTGCGCTGGTGGGTTCCGGCGCCGTGCTGCAGGCTGTGCGCGACTTCTGGGGCCCCGTCTTCGCCGAGGAGGAGATCGACGATGTGGCGGCCGCGGAGTACATTGAGCGGTGGTCTGCTCCTGCGCGTGACCGAGACGACGTCTCCTTCAGCGAAGAGGATCTTCTTCGTGCTGCGAGCCATGGTCGTGATTCATCACCGGGGCCAGACCGTCTACCGTATGTTGCATGGGCTCGTTCACCTGCTACTGTTTCTTGGCTTCACTGACTTTGTCAAGAGGCGCTTGCAGGGCTGGGCTTCCCCGGCGGCTTCAACCGCGGGCTGCTGGCCCTCATCCCGAAGTCGGGCGTCCCCTTTTTGCGCTCCTGAGGCCGTGCGACGCCCCGGCACGCTTCGGCCACTGACGCTGCTCAGCGCCGACAGGAAGGTGATCGCGACGGTTGTCAACCACGAGCTCGCGGTAGTTGCGCAGAAGGAGGCGGCTGCAGTCCAGCGCGGCATCGTGCGCGGTAGGACCTTCGCCCCGAACATCATCGACCTGGACCTGATGGCCCGCGCTTTCTGCGCGCTCTCCGAATCGGAGGGTGACCGCGCCCCGCGCTGCTCACGTTCGACGCGCGCGCGGCCTTCCCAAGCGTCAGCAGGCGCTGGATGATGCTGCCGCTGGACAGGCGCGGCCTGTGCGAGGCCACGCGGACCCTGATCTCCGCCATGTGCGACAAGCAGGTGGCCTGGCTGAGGGCTGGTGAAGACTTTCTTGAAGCATTCACGGTGGCGGCTGGCGTAGGGCATGGCTGCCCCATGTCTGCTTCTCTGTGGACCCTCCTCTTCTCCCCGTTCCTGGGGCGCCTGTCGCCCGTCCTGGACATGCCGTGGCGCTGGGGGTCCTGGCGACCTGTGCGTCCCATCGTGCAGCGCAAGGGCGACGTCCAGGGCTGCGCTGATGATGTGGGGTTCGTTATCCGCGACCTCGCCCCCCTGGCCGAGGTGGGCCCTGTCTTCGCGGCGATGCAGAGCGTGGCTTGCCTGGAGCTCAATCTGCGCAAGTGCCACCTGGTCCCGCTCTGGGCGCCGATCACCGACGAGCTCCCCGTCTTCGTCAAGGGTGTGCTTGAGGCGCATGTTGCTGGCTGGTCGTCTTTCACGATTTCCTCCGTGGCGAAGTACCTGGGCTGCTCGCTTGGGCCCGGGGCGGACCTGGACAGGCAGCGGCGTGAGCCTGCTGCCAAATATGCTGCTCGAGCCCGAGCACCTGGCTACAGTGCCCTCTCCGACGATGCGGTGGTCCAGGCGTGCAACGGTCTGGCGGTGCCCTGCCTCCTGTACGTGGCCATGCTCTTCCCGCTGCCGGCGGCGATCGTGGCGAAGGAGCTGGACCTGCTGCATGTGCTGCTTCGCGTGCCGCCGAAGTCGTTTCGCAGGGATTCCTTGCTCTCGCCGGGCAGCAGCCTTCAGGTGACGGCGCCGCTGTCCCTTCATGCTGCGACGACGGCTGCGCGGTTGCGCGCCGCGCTCGAGATGCCGACCGAGTGGCGCTCGCAGCTGCGGGAGGTGGAGGCCCACTTCATGGACGCGTGCGGCGCGGCGCAGATCTGTCTGGCGGACTTGCCGACGGGGCTCTTCGCGCCGCGCTGGCGGCTGGATCGGCGCGGTCCTGCGCGCCGCCTGCGGGGCGCGCTGGAGGGTCTGGCTCCGCGCGTCCGCGAGCGCCACCGACGCGTCGAGCGGAGGCCTTGATGAAGGCGGCGTGGTGGCGGACGGAAGCCGCAGGGGCCGCCTGGCGCGTGGCGCCGCGGCCCGCAGGTGATCGAATGAAAAAGCGTTTCTCTTTTCAGTCCACCTTGCGCACCATTCTCACCTCTCTCTCTCTCTCTCTCTTTCGCTGATATTTTTCTGCTCGCGTTTCGGAAGAGGCTGGCCGCTTGGGATGCCAGAGCTCTGCCCTTGCGAGTGCTCACCAGTCGTTGGGCCGCCCTTAAGCGGGTTCTTATCGGGAGGGGGCGGGGTGATCGGTGGGCGGCGATCAAAGTCATGTGTGGTGCGTGGCCCACGACTGCACGCATGCATGTTTAGCCAGTTCGTTCTTCTCCTTGTAAATTCGGTTGTAATGAATGTGCCGACACGATGTCGCACTATCTTCGATGTAGACATTTGTGGTGGGCTGCTTGTTATCCCAGAGAATTTTGCTAAGGCTCCGTATTAATGAAGCTTTATCTGGGATCCCCCAGGATCCTGCCTCGACCCCCGATGACAATCTCGATCGGTCGGTCCCGAGGCTTAGCCTGACGCACCAGTTGCGCTGTATCATTTCGGCGCACCCTGGTTCTGGGCCACAGAATGTACTCAGGTGCCTTGAATCTGCACGTGCACGCACGGGTCGGTAGGCACGAACCCTGTCTGGAGCGACTTTCGTTCCCGCTCCTCCTTCTCCTCCTCCTCCTCCTCCTCCTGACTGGTCCTCCTCCTCCTCCTCCTCCACCTCCTCCTCCTCCCCCTCCTCCTCCTCCTCCTCCCCCTCCTCCTCCCCCGCCCCGGCGAGCGCCCCACGGGGCCGCAGGCCGCGCTGGAACCCCGTCCCGAGAGCAGACGAACCCATCGCAGCAGCCGCCGCTGCCGCCGCCGCCTTCGCGGCAGCCCCCGCAGACGCCGCCGCCGCCGCCGTCGAAGCAGCCGCCGCCGTCGTCATCGTCGCCGTCGGCGCCGCGTGCGCGCGAGGCGTCCCCGCCGACCACCGCGCAGACGCTGCAGTGGTCCTGCTCGCCGGAGGCGGGCGAGGGGGAGGGGGAGGGGGAGGGAGGGGGGAGGGAGGGAGGGAGGAAGGAGAAGGATGATGACGCGGAGGAGGAGGATGAGGAGGAGGAAAAGGAAAAGGAGGAGAAGGAGGCGGAGGAGGAACATGAGGAACAGGAGGAGGAGGAGGAGGAGGAGGAGGAGGAGGAGGAGCCAGGAGTCAGGAGTCCGGAGTCAAGAGCGAGGAGGAGGAGGAGGACGAAGAGGAGGAGGACGCGGAGGAGAAGGATCCCTTTCAATGCCGCGCATGCCAGAAGGCACGTTGGTGGCCTCGCTTGTCCAAGGCAGCAGTCTTGGCCTCGGCGCGGGCGGAGTGCACTGGCCACCTGTGGCGAGATCGTCTACATGAGACTTCCTGCCTTCCCCAAGACTTTGTCGCAGGGCCCAGCCAGACTTCCGATTCTGCCCCCAGAGAAGATGGTTAAACAGCTGAGGCATGCCCGGCCGCTGACGCGCTTAAAAAAATGCATATGGCACAAATCACCGTCAACAGCAATAGGTCTGCAGGGTGATGCCATCCGAGTTTTTTACAGGTCGCAGTCCCTGGCTGCAGGCTGTTGTTTACGCCAAGCAGCATCATCTGGTCACGCTCGCTGGATCTCACAGCGTGCGGGAGTTCATCGAATAACTGACAGAAGCGTCTGACATCCAGCTTGGCTGTCGCGTTTATGCGCGTTTCTTCTGGGGCTCTCCCAGCTGGTCCGTTCGTGGGGAGGGACGATGATGATGATGGTGGTGGTGGTGATGATGATGATTGTGTTGGTGATGATGATGGTGATGAGGAGGAGGATGATGCAGAGGCCAATTATTGTTATTGTTGTCGTTATTTTTGTTTTTTATCATGATTATTATTAGTATTAATATTATTATCCCGGTACGAATATTACCAACATTATTTTCATTATTATCCGCACCAACATTATTAGGATGACTATTATTACCATTTTACCATCACCAGTGTTATCATTAGTACAACTATGTTTTACTGCTATTATGCATTGTAAATGTTATTTCTTTATTTGATTGTATGTTTATCCGTAAGGGCTTCGCCCCATGCCGCCGGCTCCCTGTCTCCGATAATGGGAGATGCAACAGCTAAATCATGAGGTCTGGGCGCCGCCGTGAAGCAGTGTCGGGACCTGTTTGTTTTTCGACCCTGACCCTTCGGATCTGCGTCACGGGTGCCACCGAATTTCAGAAATGTGGCAAATCCTTTGTGTTTTTGGACCCTGACCCTACGGATCTGCGTGAGGGGTGCCGCGGAATTTCAGAAATGTGGCAAATCCCATGTGTTTTTGGACCCTGACCCTGCCGATTTAAGTGAGGGGTGCTACCGAATGTCAGACATGTGGCACATCTTCCGTGTTTTTGGACCCTGATCCCGCCGATCTGCGTGAGGGGTGCCACCGAATTTTAGAAATGTGGCAAATCCTTTGTGTTTTTGGACCCTGACCCCGCCGATCTGCGTGACGGGTGCCACCGAATTTCAGAAATGTGGCAAATCTCCTGTGTCTTTGGACCCTGACCCCGCCGATCTGCATGAGGGGTGCCACCGAATGTCAGAAATGTGGCACATCTTCTGTGTTTTTCCCGGAAAGGGCTCCGGCCCAGGGTTCTCTTTTAGTAGGTAAACCTGTCCCCCGGTGCCAACTTGAGGGAGGCCGGCGAATTTTTTCCCTGATAAATAACGAGGTCGAAGGAGGCCGGCGAATTAAAATTTGAGGATGTCTCGAGCGAAACGCTTGTTTTTGAAATCCCGATCGATAAATCACAGGGTGCGGGCCACTTTTTCGTGTGTTGAGGATGTCTCGAGCGAAACGCTTGCTCCGCAGAGTTTGCCGAGGATGTCTCGAGCGAAACGCTTGTTTTGCAGAGCCGACCGCGACGCGGAAAAGCGCCCCGCGCGAAGGAATTTCGATGATGTCTCGACTAATTCCTTTGTTTTTGTACGATTTCCTGGAATTTTGGCAGGATGTCTCGAGCGAAATGCACGACCCCACCCTAGCACGACCATACCCCAGCACGACCACACCCCAGCACGACCAGACCCCAGCACGACCCCACCCCAGCACGACCCCACCCCAGCACGACCATACCCCAGCACGACCACACCCCAGCACGACCCGACCCCAGCACGACCCTACCCCAGCAAGACCACACCCCAGCACGACCACACCCCAGCACGACCTCACCACAGCACGACCACACCCCAGCACGACCACGCCCCAGCACGACCACGCCCCAGCACGACCACGCCCCAGCACGACCACCCAGCACGACCACACCCCAGCACGACCACCCCCAGCACGACCACGCCCCAGCACGACCACGCCCCAGCACCCAGCACGACCACAGCCCGACCACACCCCAGCACGACCACACCCCAGCACGACCACACCCCAGCACGACCACACCCCAGCACGACCCGATCGATAAATCACAGGGTGCGGAAGCACGACCCACCCCAGCACGACCCCACCCCAGCACCAGCACGACCACACCCCAGCACGACCACACCCCAGCACGACCACGCCCCAGCACGACCACACCCCAGCACGACCACACCCCAGCACGACCACACCCCAGCACGACCACTCCCCAGCACGACCCCACCCCAGCACGACACACCCCAGCACGACCCCACCCCAGCAAGACCACACCCCAGCACGACCGCACCCCAGCACGACCTTACCACAGCACGACCACACCCCAGCACGACCACGCCCCAGCACGACCACGCCCCAGCACGACCACGCCCCAGCACGACCACGCCCCAGCACGACCACGCCCCAGCAGCACGACCACCCCCCAGCACGACCACCCCCCAGCACGACCACCCCCCAGCACGACCACACCCCAGCACGACCACTCCCCAGCACGACCACACCGCCTTGGTTGAGTGGTTGCCTGTCGTCGTGGAATGTTTCGTGGGGTGTCTCGTGGAATGTTTCGCGGGGTGTCTCGTGAAATGTTTCGTGAGGTGTCTCGTGGGCTGTTTCGTGAGGTGTCTCGTGGGATGTTTCGTGAGGTGTTGCCCAGTTGGGTATCATGAAAACGTGTCCATGCTCCACATGTCTATATCCCTTTCCGGGTTCGTGGGTCCATCATGTTGGACCCTGACCCCGCCGATCTGCGTGAGGGGTGTTAATTTTTACCCCCCCAGAAGTTCTGAGAACCCTCCCAGGCCGTGGTAAAAATGCCCGTTTTGGGCCAACAGTAAGCAGCAAGAAGTCAACAAGGAACAGCAAGCAGCAAGAAGCAGAACTGTAACAGTGGAAACTGTAAGCTGCAACTGGTAGAGGAAACTGCGAACCTTAGCCCTACAGCCTGGTGGCCCCACAAGGGGGCCGGCGGATTTCTATTTCATTTTAATTTAATAGCATTCTTATTATTCTTCTTATTATTATTAGTATTATTGTTATTATTATTATTATCACCATTGAGTATTCTTATCATGTTGTCTGTAGCCCTTGTGGCCCAGAGGAGAGGTGGCAGTTATTGATCCCAAGTGCCAGCTATGTCGGCTGGCCCTCTGTACCAAGAACTTACACAGCATCGTGGAAGCAGCGATTCCAAGCATCCCATCTGAATCGTGTTGAGATGATGGTGGAGGTGATGATCACGTAGAGGAGCGCCACGTGCCAGAGAGGTACCAATGGCAGGTGCCGCAGCGTGCGCGGGCCCGGGCGTGGCAGCAGGCCCTGACGTGCAAGGAACCGATCATGGTCAGCGTGGCCGCGTACCTGGGGGAACTGCACTACACAGTGGAGGCTGGATTTCACAGTCCGCTCGCCGCTGGCCGTCCGAATGCCGAGCGAGGACGCACGGGCTGGCGCCTTGGTGGGCGTCGCAGCGCGCGTGGGCGCTGAGGACAAGGTACGGCGCCACGGCCCGTCGGTGACGGCACCGTCCTGGGAGATCTTGGTCGGTTCCATGCAGAGAGCGCGGAGGTGTTGGAGGAGGTGGCGCGCCGGCAGCCCGTGGCAGTGGCCGGGAATTCAGCGCTTGGCACGCGCCTGGCGGGCGGCGGTGGTGGCGGCGAGGGCCATGCTGTTCGCAGAGGCGGACGGCAACCTCCTGTCGCTGGGTTCGGAGGCCGCCAGGCATGCAGCCGCGTCGCGGGCGCCCGAGTTTGCAAACGGGGTTTTCGATGCCCAAGAGGCGGGCGAGGCTGCCGAGGATCGCCGTATGGACGAGCGCGTGAAGGAACTCATCGCCGCCGCGGAGGCAGAGGGCGATGCGAGGGATCCGACGGGGGCAGGGCGTGGCAGCATGTGGGAGCCGGCGCGTGTCATTCGTTTCTGATCGGGTTTGCTTCTCAGGCTAAGTCATGATGCAGAAGACGAGGAGGGGCGACCACGATGGACAGCACGATGAGAAGGATACCAATGAGGAAAACGAGCATGAGGAGCTGGAGGAGGAAAGGAGATAAGAAGGGGGATGAGGAGCATGAGGAGATGGGTGCGCAAGGGCAACTGAGAGGGAGGACTCGGAAGGCGTGGGGATGGAGGATGCGGAAAAGTGGGAGGGGAGGAGGAGTAGAATTAGGAGGAGGAGGAGGAGGAACAGGAGGCGGAGGAGGAGGGGGAGGAGGACGAGGACGAGGAAGAGGAGGAGGAGGAGGACGAGGAGGAGGAGGAGGAGCGGAGGTGGAGGAGCGGAGGACAGGGGGAGGAGGAGGAGGAGGAGGAGGAGGAGGAGGAGGAGGAGGAGGAGGAGGAGGAGGAGGTCTTATCTTCTCGCTTGCCACTCAACACGTGTATTCCAAACCCTCGACGCCCGCGTTCTGCGTCTTCGATCGTACCCCCTGGGGGGTGTCTCTTTCTTACCTGCAAGGTGTATTTCGTGCAGCCTGTAAGGCAGGGGGAGAGAGGACGGATGGAAGGAAGGGACAAGGGGGAGGGAAGAGGACGGAGCACGAGAGAGAATAGCAGGAGGGGGGCTAGGAGCAGAAAACACGTGGCAGAACGAGTCGGGCAGATCGGGCGGGCAGATCTAACAGGCGGGTCGGGAAGGCGGGCCCAGGCGGCCAGGTCGAGCAGGCGGGTTCCTAAAGCGTGCGTCCTGCATGAATCGCGAGGAAGTCTCGAGCGACAACGCGATGCCCAAATAAATCGTGAGGACATCCACAGCGAGAGCGTGATTCCTGAGTTTCGAGGGCGCGGCGTCTTAATGAATCGCGAGGGAGTACCCCGCGAGAGCGCAATCTTTGCAACCAGTGTGAGGAAGTATCAGGCGGGAGCCGTTGTTTTTGTTGTAGTTCGCGGCCCAACAGTTTAGTTTGGTGACACGTCGATTTCCTTGGTAGAGAAAAACATATCGTACTGAGGCCCAGAAGCCCCTCGGAAGCAAAAAGGCGAACATGCCAAACACATGGAAACACACGTTGTTTCTGAATGAGTTTAGCCTCTTGGAGGCCTCGTCGGAAGGCCAGGAGGGCACTCGGGGCCGTCCTGGGGCGATCTTGGGGGCTCTTGGAGACACGTGGGAGGCTATCTCGGATGCTCTTGGGATATTTTGAGCGATCTTGGAGGCCATCTCGGGCCTCCCAGGGCTAGGAGACTCCGATGACCTTTACGAATCCTCTAACCTCTCGTGGGGGTGGGGTCAGACCCAGGGGGGAAGGGTAGGGGGAGGGCGACACTCGAATGTCGCGACACTCCTCCACGACAGTAAAACCTTAGTTCCAGTTCCCTGGAGGAGCATTCCGAAATTACTTAGTCCGAGCCCCGGGGGGGCGCCGCCCAAGTTTCGGGGACACCTCCTCCACGGCTCGAACTCCCAAATTCTGTAGCACCCTGAAGGGTTTTCCCGAAACTCCTGGGCCCGAGCTCCCCGAGGGCGCGGCCCGACTTTCAGGACGCTCCTCCGCGGTGCTACACGCTTGGGCTTCAATGCAGCGGGGGAGTTCTTTGGAACGGCCCCGTCCGAGGCCCGGGAGGGCGCCGCCCGCGACTCGGGAAGCCCACCCCCTGGCCTCAGCGCCCAGGACTTTGGGCGATCGAGCCCGAGGTTCTCAGCACCGCGGAGGAGCGCCCGGACGCTCCCCGCTCCCGAGCTCCGAGAGGGCGGCGCCCCACCGTCGGGAAACTGCGCGGCGGAGCTGAAGCTCTGGTGGAAGTTGGGGGGGCCTCTCGGGGGCTTTTGGGGGGCCTCTTCGGTGCCTCCTGGGAGCCTCCTGGGGCCTCTTGGAGACGCCTCGGGGGGGCACTGGAAGGGGGCTCTTGGGGCCATCGCGGCGGAAACGACGAGTCGAGATGCCATTTCGTATTGCCCCCCTTGGGGCCCTCCTGGGCCGTCTTAAGGGTCCCTGGTGCCGTCTTGAGGCCCTCTTGGGGCTCTATTGGGCCGTCTGGGGGCCCTCTTGGGGCCTCATGGGCGGTCTTCGGGCAATCTTAGGGGCTCCTTGTGCCGTAGTGGACGCTGTCAAGACGAAAACGGCGCGCGCGCGTGCGTGTGTGTGTGTGTGTGTGTGTGTGTGTGTGTGTGTGTGTGTGTGCGTGTGTGTGTGTGTGTGCGTGTGTGTGGGCGTGTGTGTGTGTGTGTGTCGAAACCGCGCGTCTTCCGAAGAGGATGAGACGATGTGTGCATCTTGGGGCCCTTGTGGCGGCCCTCCTGGAACACTCCTTGGCCGTCTTAGGGGCCCCGTAAGCGGTCTTGAAGCCATCTTAGACCGGCGCGGGGCTACCCTGAGCGGTCTCGACGCTCTGTTGGATTGTCTTGGCGCTCATTGGGTCGTCTTGAGGCTCTTGGGAGGCTCCGGAGAGCACTTTGGGTACGTGAGCAGGCTCGCCCCTCCCTCCCCCTCACTCCATCGCCCCCCCCACCACCCCTCTAATGCGATGTCCGGCCCCAGGGGAGGGGGACCAGGGGGAGAAGGACAGCCAATCATCTCACACGCCCTCTCAACCCTGGCAGGCGGGGGCCGGCGGAGCTCCTCCTTTGTCGTACCCGCTTTTTCTTCCTGCAGCCCCGGAACCGAGCCCCCACGTGGCGAGAACGCTCGAAGGCTGAAACGAAACGGGTGCTCGCCGCATCTGGCGGCTTGACTGGGAAAGCCCGCTGGTGGCATCGCCCCAAAATTCCAACAAGTGGGATGTGTATCGGCAACCCCTTCCCTCCCTGCAATTCGACCTGGATCCCGTATTCTGTCATCGACTAGGGCGCAGCGCGGGGAGCATCTCCTCCGCCCCCGCGGGCTCCAGGTTGGCAGAGCAGGCGCATCGCGTGCCACAGCGCGCAGCCATCGCGGAGAGCTGCGTAGCTGCCTCCGCTGGAATTAGGTCGCCGGTTGTTTTTGGACAGGGACATGGCCTCGACATCAAGGCAGTACAGCGTTCCCGCTCCCGCGTCTTCTTCAACTGTCCCATCCACTTCGGCACAGGTGGAGTCAGATGCAGGCGCAACTTGGGTCGAAAAGTGGCTTCTTTACCCAAGTCGGATTTCTGATGGGAAGACTCTGGTTGTGCTGCTCCGTCCTAGTCACTAGTCCCTCCTCCCTTTTTTCTTACTCACCCTTCCTCCGCTCTCCTTGCTCCTTCGTCCTTTCTCCTTACTTCCTTTATTGTTTGTCCTGCATCCTTCCTTCCTAGACCCCCGACGTCGTGTTTTTGTTTCACAACGTCGATCCCCAGAAGTCTGGACCCCTTCCCGAGGCCAGGTTTTCATCCTGAGTCATTTTTTGACGGTCCCGAGGTCCGGGAAGGGCCCCCGGAGGCAGAAAATAGCGAAACAACTCCCGTCGTGTTTTTCACAACGCTAGGAGGTCCGGGTTTTTGTTCTTTACCCATCCATCCTCACCCGTCCTCCTGCTCTCTCGTCCCCCTCCCTTATCACGTATCATTTTCCTCCCACTCCTCGCTCTTCTGCCCCTGGCCTCCCTGTTCCCCTCCTTGAGAGGATGCGTTGAGGGCTGGAGGATAATGAGGAGGAGGAGGAGGACAAAAAGGGACGAGGAGGACGGCTGAGGCGGATTGAGCAGGATGAGGAGGAACATGCATAACAGGAGGGCAATGATTCGAAGGAGGATGAGGCGCACAATAACGGTTGCGACAATGAGAAGGGGGGAGAAACAGTAGTAGCAGGAGAGGGATGTGAATGGGGAGGAGGAGGAACAGAAGGAGGATGACAAGGAGGACACTGAGGGAATGGTGAGCAGCAGGAGGAGGAGGAGGAGAAGAAGGGGTAACCGCATGAGACGGAGACCAGTAGAGGTATGTTTTCAGTCCACCCTCTCCCTACCGAGGCGGCATCGATCTGCACCGCCATCGTGGCCGCCGTCTCCGGGAACTTCGATAAGGAGACACCCTCTGATGAGCGGTGGGTGGAGGGCTCTCCTCAGTTCCGCTCCATCCGCTTTGCCTTGCCTTCCACCTGTTCCATCGTCATTGGCGCCGCGCTCCTCCTCCTCCTCCTCCTCCTCCTCCTCCTCCTCCTCCTCCCCTCCCTCCTCCGCCTCTTCGTCGTAGCCGTTCTGGTCCTAGATTGGACTCGATACGGCTTACTTCACAACGGCACGCAGCTGTATCGGGCCAAGACGGCCCGTCGTACCTTCCATGGCAGTGCGGCCCTGCGGGGCCTATGCGCAAGTCCTCTTGCGGCCGGTCTACGGCGCCGTGGCTTCAAAAGTTCGGCACGACATGGTCTGAGGACGTGCCTGGCGTGGGTGGTTGGGACAGTTCTCAGTGGTTCCCCGTCGGCCCGACAGGGACCGTGGCGCGTGTCAGTCGAAAGTGCGGATGCAAAAGACACTGTCAGAGGTCCCCGCTGTCTCCGCTGCCTTGTCGCCAATGGTCGCCAGCTCGGAGGCGGCGGTGGCGGGCGCCCCTTGGATGGCTGCGGGGGGCTGCCCGCCTATGTGGCGGCCCAGTGGATGCTAGACTTCAATCAGATGTACTCCTCTTCCCTCGTGCGCCTGCGGATCCTGGTGATGCTCGCCAGGCGCACGCGCAGGGACGTGCTGCTCGCGCTGCTGGTGTCGACCCCGCGCCTCGTGAATGTGGCCACGCAGCTTGCGGGGAGGATCGCGATTCTGACTCCCAGCTTCCGCCCCCCCCCGATTGTCACACTGATGGTGGCTCGAGGGGGGAGTGCTGTGGGAAGCAGTAGCTGCCTTGGATACCTGGGTGGTGGGAGGTGTGGTGACAGGACTTGGTGAGGATGGAGTGTGCAAAACCGTTTAGGAAACGGTACCAGCGGCAGCATAGCTGCATTGATTGCACGCTTGCCTGCCGCTTGTTCTGGCGCTTATCGGGTATAGCCAGGACCCCAGGTAAGGGGACCCAGTTAGTGATAGGGCCCTGGAGCCCCTACATTGGCCAGAATCACTAAACCAGGTCTGCCGTAGGTGGTGCTTTTTTCGGGTGGTGGCAATTCCCTTTCGTGGAACGGGGCAGGGGGGGGGGGCCCCAGTACACATCACTACACCGGGTCCCACTAAACCCAGTTCTGCCAACGCCCGAGCTTGGTTGCGTTGCCCCCATCGTTGGTTTTGGGTCTGGTTTCCTCCTTGGTCGGTCCCTCCGCCGTGGTCGGTCTCTGTGGGCCCTCGCTTTCTTCTTTTCGGGTCCCTCGTTCGGCCCACGCGCGTTGCTACGTGTGCTTCGGGAGCCAGCCCTTGGCTGCAGCCCGCGGCCACATGGAAAATGTTGTTTTCCCCTCTCCTCCTCCCCTCCCTCGTCCTTCCCTTCTCCTCCTCCCCCCCTCCTCCCCCCCCTGCCCCGTCCCTCTCCCAAGACACTCTCCTTTTTATCTGTGCTTATTCTCCTCCTTGCGACGAGGGCGGGGCGCGAACGAAGGCAGGGTGCACCGCGGCGCCTTCCTATCCAGCTGGCAGGCGCGGAAGAGGAATGGCGAGGTGGCCACGGTGCGGCTGATGAAACACGCTGCGGATGTCCCCGCCCCGAATTCCTCCTCACCGAAAGTCCGCCTCCGCACCCCCTCCCGTTTTCCCGACGACGCCAGCGATGTCCTCTCCGCCAGGGAGCTGGCCCTCCCGATCTTCACCATTCTGCTGCTCCTCCTCCTCCGCCTCCTCCTCCTCGTCCTCCTTCTCCCCTTCCCTCCTCATATCCTCCTTGCCCTCTCGCCCCCTCCTCCCCTCCCCCAGCCCCTCCTTCCCTCCCCCCACTTCCACATGCAGGCCCTGGTGACAAGTCGACCCACTTCCCACCCCTCCTCCTCCTCCTCCTCCTTCTCCTCCTCCTCCTCCTCCTCCTCCTCCTCCTCCTCCTCCTCCTCCTCCTTCTCTTCCTTTCCCGACGACGACGCTGACGCGTCTCCCTGCGAAGGAGGTGATCCTCGACGAGGACGCGGTAGCCGCGGCCAGCGTCTCCACCTCGGCCGAGGTTACTGTCACTCTGCGCGTCGACGCGCTGGGCGACGGCGGCCAGCTGGTGAGCTACGCGGAGCGCGCGTTCGTCTTTGACCCGTCGCCAGGGGAAGGGTTGGCACGGGTGCCCGCGGCTCGGTCGGTTCGGCCGCTTCATGGTCGACTGCATTCGGTCGGTTCGGTTCGGTCGGTGGCTGTGCCGCTGCGCTCTTCTTGGCTGATTCGGACGGGTCTGGGACGAGGACGACTCCGTTCCGGAACGCTGTCAGGGCTTCCCGGAACTCTCTGAGAAGGCCGCGGCGCCCGCGGCGGATTCGGTCGGTTTCGGCTTTGCTGTCGGTTCGGCCGGTCCTGGGTTCTGCTGCGGACCGCCCTGGGCGGGAGGGAAGGCTCTCAGATTTAGGCCTGTGGGGGATCTCTAGGCCCAGACCCCCAACGTCCAGATTTTTTCACACCGTCGGCCCAGGAGGTCTGGATATTCCCCAGGACCGTGTTTCTTCATCCCGGGCCGTTCTGTTGAGATGGTCCCAGGGCCCGGGACGAGCCCCTGGAGGCCGAGAGCAGGAGCGAGAAGCCTCCCGCCGTGACTCGTGCACAGCGCGAGGGGGGGCGTCGAGGCTTTCCGGGGGGACGCCCCTCGCCCGTGTTGGGGGGAGCCCGGGCGCGCCCGAGCGAGGGCCGACGGCGGCCTCCCCTCCCCGGGCCTCCGAGCAGCCCGTGGAGCAGCCCGCGGCGCGAGGCTTTTGCTGGCCGCTCTCGCGGGCCCCCTCCTCCAAGCTCGTCCGCTTCACGCCTTGTCCTATGCCTCATTCCTCCGTTCTCCCCAGTCCTTCTCTTCCTTCCTCCTCCTCCTCCTCCTCCTCCTCCTCCTCCTCCTCCTCCTCCTCCTCCTCCTCCTCCCCCTCAGGGAGCCCTCCCCGGGCCCCCCGGGGGGCTGTGAGGGAGCGGCTCGGGCCGAGAAGCTGGCCCAGGGTGAAGTCGGGCCTGTCCTCCAGGGGGATTTTGGGCGAAATATAAATAACAGCCCAAGAATACCCCCAAAAGAGTCAAAACAACATAAAAAATCGTACCCATACATTTTTTGTACTATTTTCGAATATTCCTCTGGCCTCTGGGGGCCCTTGCCGGCCCTCGGGACCGTCAAAAAACGACTCAGGATGAAAACCTGGTCCAGGGGAATGGGTCGAGACCTCCAGGGGTCGACGTAATGAACAAATCATGACGTCGGGGGTCTGGGGAAGGATGGGGTCTGGGGCTCCGGTGGTGATTTTGTTTGCGTTCCGACGGGGAGGGTCGGGAGGGCGAGGGGGTGAGGGAGGTGGATGACAAGAGGGGGCAGTGCATGGGGAGGAGGTCGAGGGGGGAGACAAAGGGAGGAGGGAGGAGGCAGGATCCGGGCTGACGCGACGCGCGGCTTTGCTGAGTGAGCGCTCGCGGGCAGAGGGCGCACGGCGGGCGGCGCACCAGGGCGTGGGGACCACGCAGCTTGCGCCACCGCCAGGCGTTGGGGTCAAGGGGACGAGACAGCGGCGGCGGCGGTAGCCTCCGCACCCGCCTGGCCGCCGGCCTCGGGGGGCCGGCGTGGCCGCCCAGCTGGCCCTTCCCAGGCCGACGGGAAGCCGCCTGCCGACCTCGAGGTGCGCGCCCGGCGTGCTCCGCGATCGCGTCGCCTGGCCTCTCGGCGGGCACGGTCGCCCGCGTGGCCTCGATCCGAGAGCGCTGGTCCTCGGTCAAGGCAGGAGGAAGAGGGGCTGACGACGACGACGACGACGACCACGACGACGAGGACGAGGACGACGAGGACGAGGACGAGGACGACGAGGAGGACGACGACGACGGAGGGCTCACGTCCAGAAGGAGCGTCGAAGGAGCGGCAGGAGTGCCCAAAACGGGCTGAGTTTCAGTCTCCTCAGGTGCAAGCTGCAGATCCAAGAAGCATGCTCGCTCGCCCTCAGTCTCGACGGAGGTCTCCGGCGAACCTAGCATTGGAACCTAAGATTGTCCGCAGCCGAGCTGCGAAATCCCAGGATCCAGGGAATCGGAATCGGATCGAAAGCGGGGGATCCGAGGGTCAAACAGTCGCCTCCGAAGAGATCTGGCAAAGTCTGGGGCCTCCTGAAACTTACGGTCGTTTCATCAGACCAGGCAGCGCACAAGACGAGCAAACCTCGAAGGAGCTTTGCGGACTCGGATTCGCAAGTGAAATCTGGGACCTCATGTTATTCAGGCGAGAAACGTACCGGTTGACTTGAACACTGCCGTGGCTAAGTCTGCGCACAAACCTCACTTATAGGCATTCTTGCTCGCAGTGTGGATGACCCCGTTTGCCTTCCCTCAGAGCTGCCAGTGCACTCCTTTGCCGTGGGAGCAACTACCTTGGCCAAGAGTGGAGAAGACGAGGGGCCGATGGCGGGGCATGCCATGCCATGCCTACAAAAGACCATTCCATGGAAGCTGGCTGGTGTTCGCACTGGTTGAAATGAGTGTTCACTGGTCGCACTGCCGCCACCAGAGGAGACCAACGAAAGGAGGTGGGGGGTATAGCAAGCCAGGTGGCGGCGATGGGGTGTCCGAGCCACCCCGAAGTCCCCACACGCAGGTGTCCCTCTGGATAGAGAGATGTCGCAAATAGGAGCTGCGACCCCGCCTGGAGCTGCCCGTGCTTCCTGTTCGTAAACAGGGGATGCCCCACATGTGCTCCGCCGTGCGAAGCTGTGGGGGGCCCGCCTCATGACACCTCGGGTCGAAGCGCCACGACTCTGGTCTATGGCGATACCCAACGAGAGGCGGCACAATGCAACATCGAGGGTTTCCGAAGAGAATGAACGATGCCAGGAACAGGAGGGAGTGTCGCGACGAGGACAGATCCGCTCCGGAGCGTCCCGGAACGCTCTCGGAGCGCTCCAGGACGCTCTGAGCAGGCCGCGGCGCCCGAGACATCCTCCAGAGCCGCGTCGCCTTGGGGATTCCTGACTCGTCCTCTCCCGACTTCGTCCTCGTCCCGGCTTCGCTCAGGAGGAGGGGGGGCCTCCTGGTTGCAGTGCGGCTGCGCGGGGGGCCCCTGCCGCCGGGGGAAGGCCAGAGGGAAAGCAGCCGCCCCGCTGTCGATCGATCGGGGCGGGTGCCACGGGGGTCAGCGCCAACGGGGGCCAGCCAATCTTAAGTCGGGCCTGTCCCTCTGCAGGAGGAAAATTTCTAAACAGTATAATTTAGTCTGGTCACGATTTGCGACCAGTCGTCTTTTTGTTACTCGTTCTTACCTTCCTGTTTGGCTATGTTTCATTTTCTTTCAGCATCCGCCTGTAGGAGGATACGCCCGACCTGGAGTCAATAGTCCTCTCTGGCTGACCCTGGTCTGGGAGCCTCGCGAGGCACTCAAGAGAAGGGCCCCGCCTTCGAGGGTCAAAGGAGTTGCCGCCTCTTCCTCGGCGGCAGGGCGGCGGGAGGGAACAAACAGATACCGAAGCCAGCGGAAGTAACAATCGAACCTCGGTGCATCGAGACGGCCGTTGGCCCCGCGCCCCCCGCCAGGCGGCCAGGGGGAGGAGGAGGAGGAGGAGGAGGAGGAGGAGGAGGAGGAGGAGGAGGAGGAGGAGGAGGAGGAGGAGGAGGACGAGGAGGACGAGGAGGACGAGGAGGAGGAGGAGGAGGAGGAGGAGGAGGAGGGGGAGGAGGAGGAGGAGGAGGAGGAGGTGGAGGACGAGGGCGAGGCAGGCGGCCTCTCCGGCGACTCCGCCCCGCCGCTGTCACGGGCGCGGCGGTGGCCGGCCGAGGGAGGCGCGGGGGCCTCGCTGCCGCCGGCCCGCGGAGGGAGCGCCGCGCCGCGGTCCGGCGGCACTCCTCGGCCCCCACGCGCTGACAGCGACGACGACGACGACTGCGACGACTGCGGCGGCGGCGACGACGACGCACGACGCATGACGGCAAACGAGGCGACGACGACGACGACGCCCTCGACGGGAGGAGGGGGCGACTGTTTGGCTGTGTTTGAATGTTTTTTTGCGTATTGTGGATCGTGTTTTACGTTTCGTCCAGAATCCGCCTGTAAGGGGGACATGCCCGACCTGCTGAAAGCGGCGAGCTGCAGTACGGAGGGGGCGAGGGCTTGCGGGTGGCAAGCGGGCCTGGGGAAGAGCGATGAGGCTGGCGGAGGTGATTAGAAGCTGCTGGTGTCGTGGCCAGCGGCTCACGCGCCCCACGGTCGCCTACGCCGTGGAATACGAGGCAAGGAACGTGCAGCCCCGAGCTTCGTCGAGTCTGCCTCGACACGCCCCACGGAATATAGAGCGATACCCGACCGCAGGATGAAAGCATGGATCTACAATGCAGAACTTTTCTTGACGGTCGACCGCATTGCGGAACTATTGATACCAGCAAAAGGCCACCGAATATCAAGTGTGTGTATATTTCGAAGTACCCTCATCGGAGGAACGACGCCATGGACGACTGTTGGCTACAGAGTATATCTTACTCCGGGATCTTCGAACAGAGCAGAGGTCATATTCGCACACGAACGGGCTCCAGGGAGACACTGGCATGACTGCGCTGAATACACACGTGAGCCGAGAGAGAAGTATTGGCATGTGGTTCCGCACGGATGGTACGACATGGAGTCAAATAGGTTACATGTGTACGAGGTTGAAAGTAGGGTATGGCTACAATGTCAAGTTCTTGCATGCGGCACGGACATGATGGGGAGGACACCGCGACCACAAACGAGTCGAAACTATCATATCGGTCCGCTTCAGACGCAGACGATCCCAGCATTACCCATTTATGAAATGGACTCGTGATATTTTCCTGCAAGACTTGAAGATGGCTGTCGCTGGCGACGGCTCCGACGAAGTAACCACCCGTGTACACGATTTTCGAAACAAGCGGGCCTTGGAATTGGAACGACGAGGAATCCCCCGGAGATGGCGAGAGGAGTGTGGGACAGGTGTCAGGTACTAAAACATATTCAACTACTTTAACGCGCTTGAGGGGGCGGTCGTCGATGCAGCCTACCCAATGTACATAGACAGCACGAAGGTCCCGCCCCAGGAGGAGCTGACACATGAGACATTGGCCCTTGTTCGAGGCGAGCAACAGTTCCAGAA